ATCTAAGGTGCGTATATTTAAGGCGTGGCGGCTAGCGTTAAACGTAGCTACCTAATAGTCTCTTTTCTAGCTATCTCCTTACCGAATTAGTTACACTCCTTTATTAAATAGGAGCACTATAGCCATAGCTATAGGGGTATCGTAGCACCGTGTTCCGTTATCCTAGAACCCTACGGCCGTAGGGGTATCACGATTTCCTAATATAACGGCTATTATTAGCGCTATAACCGACGGCGGGCTTACTAGTAGAGAGGAAAGTAGCGGAATAGGTGGTTATAGACGGTGATTAGGCGTTATACCTGCTAAATCGTGCTATTCGTGACCTAAGTATTTTCTAGCCTCTTCTACCCCCTCACGGCCGGGTATTACAGACTATAACCTTAACGGTAAAGCCGTCGAGGAAGGGGATCCGGGGGCGTTTATCCCTAGATCTAATAATTTAAAATAAGCAGTTATATAAAGGGGGGGGGGGTCCTTAGCTTATACGTCCGTAAACGCCGTGAATCTCTAGCCCTCTCTTATTTAATCTAACTAAGTAGGTCTTTTAATTACTCCTCGGTTAATTAACGGAGGTTATTCTTAAAGGCGTTAATATCGCCGTTAAAAAAGGCATATTCGTTAAAATCTATATCGTATATGCGAATAACGCGGTGGTAGCGCCGGCCTAGTACCTAGATACGGAAGATATTAGTGGAATCGTAGCCGATAAGGTAGCCGATATAGGCGCGGAGAGCGATACGATTTAATAGCCTATTAGCAGCCTTTTAGGCGTCCTTTATTATCGCGTACGCTTTGCAGCCGTAGGCTTAAAGGTGTGATAAAATCGGCTTCCTTTTAAAGAGGACCTTATATAGCGTTTGTTAATCCTTATTATTATACTGCCTTCGTGGTATTCGGTTATAGACGTACGCGGCCGTGGGAATAGCGTTAGGCTATATAAACGGCGGTAGTTTAGTGTGGATATGTATGGTATAACCCTTCGAAATAACCACGGCAGCCGCGCGTTCGGCACCCCTATTCTGCGCTTAAGTGTCAGCAGTAGATGTCTCTAAAAGGATGCCCTTATTACGCAGGAATTAGGTGATATCGTAGGATTAAGTTAGCTCGTTATTAGATTTGAAAACGCGTACCTTATAGCCTAATTAGCAGTCTACCTAGGCGAGGAATTCCTTAATTATTACGAGGATATTTACTACTAGCTTACTCTTTATAACGTAGGTGGCCGCAAAACCACTATAACGGTCGGTGAAAAATATAAACCGCGAGTCCTTATCGGATGTTCGGTTAAAGTCCGTGAAATTAATCGCCTACCGCTCCCCTACAGAAGTAGGTACGGTATAAGGGTGCGTGCTAACGTGCCGTTTAATCTTTATAAGCTCGTAGGCCTTATAGTCGATAGTTATTAATCCCTTTATTTTAGCCCCCTGCGTCTGCTTTTCTAGGTGCCGTAGTGGTTTAGAGCTAGTATACCCTAGGCGTAGATACTATAAGATGCCCTCCGTAGTGCTTAGATACCGTATCGTCGATTTATAGACGCCTTTTCGGGTGGTAGAAGAAGAAGAGCCTAGAAAAGTAGCCGTAGATTAGTTAAAGGGCACGTATTCAACTACGGTTTAATCGAAGCGGTGACTTAGCTAGTATATTATAGATCTATCGGTATATTAAAGGCAGTTATTTAGTGGCTTTTAATCCTATTAGTAGCCTTATAATCGTAACCGTTAGTTTAAGATTCAATTATAGGTAAAATCTTCGTAGTGTACGACGTTTAATAGTCTAAAATCGAGGCCTCCTATTAGTCCGTTTAATCTCACGGTCACGTTACCGTAACCTTTAATAGGTAGCGATAAGCTGCCTACGACTATGTAGTCTCCCTGTATAGCGGATATAAAATCAGAAAAACGGGAAAAATCGTTAAAAATATAAATAGTGGCGCCGGAATCGAGGATAGTAGAGGTTCGAAGAGGGTAACTAGTAGTAGTACCAGTTATAAAGGTGGTAGCGTGGGAGACGCCGCTACGGACGCTACTATAGTCGAGTCATGCTTCTTTAAGCTATATAGAGTCCCGGCTTATATCCTTCTTTATCTTCTTTACGGTGCGTAGTTCTTCCACTTCCGCGCGTAGCGTAGGGTCGTATTTAAGAATCCGTTAGACGGTTATTTTAGTGCTCTTAAAGGGCGTTTAGTCGTTATATACTGTATCTGGGAATAGATAGAAGTAGGCGTTAATATCGTGGCTAGGTATACTGTATACGTGGTAGATCTGCCCTCTCTAGAGAGGAGATTAGCGGCGTTTAGAAGAGTAGTTAGCTAAAGTAGTAGAAGGTGTAGCTGTAGGATGCTTAGCTTTATTCTTCCCACGGCCACCCTTCTTAGGCTTAGCCGTGGTATTTAAGGTATCCTCGCCCTTTTCGCTTCCGGTGTATAGTGCCGGGAATACTATAACGCGGTGGCTACCGCGTTTTCCTTAGTCTTTAAGTCTAGTATTAATATATTTTTGACCGAGGGTGTAAAGGTCTTCGGGTATAACTACCCAATTATCTATAAGGCGTCCCTCTGCCTTAGTCTAATCGCGGCCAGTATAGGGGCGTATACCTTTAAAGAAATCTATAATCTATATATACATGGCGGGCTTCGAACCGGTATCTTTATAGCTTTATAGTAGTAGCTGCCACTTATCTAACTACTCCCCGAGCTTCTTAAGACAATTCGTAGCGTAATAAGTATACTCGATATACTCTTCGTAGGTATCGGTTTAGCGGGTGGCTAGGTATTAATCCGTATCGCGTTTAACGGCTTCGTATACCTTATAAGGTATACCTCCTCATAGTAGTTATCTACGGCTTTAGTCGATAGTATTAACCTACTAGGTTGGTATAGCGTTAATCCCCTTTAGGTAGCTATTGTATTACGCTTATAGGATCTTCTAGCGCACGATTTCGACGTCGTACGCCTTATAGCCGGCGTCCGTATGGTCGAGATATTATATAGGGGTACGCTTAGGCGTTATAGAGGGGAAAGAGTGGTAACTCGGTATTATAGGCTCCTCGGGGGATTAAGTCGGATCGACTTAGCGGAGAAACCGCTATACGTTATTATAGGTTGTAACCGATTCGTATAGGCATCGCTAAAGCTCCTAATCCTTATAGGTTTTATACGTAATAGGGCTAAGATACGATATCTTAGTCGTTATTTATAGATTAATACGCTATATCGGCGCGGCTAGATAGCTTCTTAAATCGATAGTAGTAAAGGTAAAAGGGTAGGTAAAATAGGTATATCTTCACTTAGTAAGTAAGACTCTTAATTATTAAATAAAGCGTAGTCAAAATCGTTATAAGATAGGTTAAAATTAATTAAGGTAATTGTGTATAATTATAACTGTCCAAGACCGTTAGGGAAACGCTGCCACCGTATTTTGTATAGTGTGGATTCTATAAGCGTCTACCCGGATTATACTCTTAGTAACCCGGCCTATTACGCAACCGAAAAGACTGTGGTCTGTTCGACACTTTATACCTTAAGGGCATGATAGAGGTAGCAAGCTACGTAGCTACCGCTCTTATCCCTTATTCGTATCGTTTAAAAGTACGCTCCTTCCATTTAAATTCTTCGAAATCTTAACTATAGATTGCTTTTCCAGTAACCGTTAAGTCTATCTAATAGACAGGGTTATATACCGAGGTAATTAAAGTATAGATAGCGTATATCGGGGTAGTAGGGTGGGTGGGTTCTATAATACGGTTTTTAGGTTATAGATAGATCTAGACTCCGTTTATTTTCGCTAATATCGTGCTCTAATAGTTCTAGGACTCCTAGTCAATATAGCTAGTATAAATAGCCTTAGGGGTCTCGGGTATCTTGCCGATTGAGTTGTTATAGATTGAAATTATAAGGTTTAGTCGGTTATATCTCACTATAGCGGCCTGGCTAGAAGGCTCTTTAAGGTAGAATAATAATGATGAATAAATAAAGCTAAGACTCTTAATTATCAAATATAGCGTAACCGTAATAGAGTAAATACGATAAGAACGGTTAGATTAAGAGGTTCAAAATTAATTATATTAAAGCCGTAAACTATTATAAAACGTGTTATAAAACCTATAGTTATAGAAGGCAAAATTAGTGCCCGATATCCTACGTATATCCACTATTAGTCCTGACCGCGTATTCGGCTGTTAGGTTATTCCACCCCCGAGGGAGGTCTGTGCGATACTAATTGGAGGTAAGAGAACCTATATTATCATAGTCCTATTTTTCCGGGTAGAATGTTAAACGGGCCGGGCTTGGCAGTATATCCTAAATTGTATAAGGTTTAAGTTAGAATAATACTATTTATTGTATTATCCGGTTCTATTATAGCATCGGCATTATAGCGCCTTTATAATAGCATCCTAGGAATAGGGTAGTATTAGATAAAGCGTAGTTAAAAGCGTCACAAAATAGGTCAAAATTAATTAAGGTAATTATGTATAATTATAACTGTGTGTGGACTGTTAGAGAATTCCTGCCACCGTAATATTAGTGGTGAAGAATCTGCAGGTGTCTCCCGGATTATTATATAACCGAAAAGACTATAGTCTATTCGATAGGTAGTAGTGATAATTGTTATTTTAGTAGTTTTATCGATTTTACTCCTATTACGCGCCTATAGCCGTCTTTAAATTCGTCGTCTAATTATTTGGATTATAACTTAATCTATTATATTATTTATATTCGTATAAAATATTATTACTAGGTATTATTCGAATTATAATTACTCTACTTTATAATATAAAACTATATTAATTACAGAATAAAGTAAATAAATGTTTAAAGATTTTATTCTATATAATATATTAAATAACGAAATATTTAAGATTTTGCTAATAAGAAGACCTTATCCGGTAGTGGGGGCTATGGGTGTTTCCGCCTCCTGTCATTGGCTGCTTCGAGAGGCTTATGCTGATCTGCCGAGTTCTTATAGTAGACCAGTGGTTCTATGCTTCCTCGAACCCTCCCTCACGCAGCTCCGAACTCTCGCCCCTGAAGCCAGCTCTTCGCATCTTTGGGCTTCATAGCCACCGAGCCACTGCCCATCAAGGTGGACTGGAATAATTTGAGATTGATTTTTGCACTCGTTCCTCTTTCCATTCTTCAGCCATCGTCAATCGAAGATGCCTGGAGGCAGAAATCCCATGGAGGAGGCTTACGAGCGCCTCCGTGGCGTAGCTCGTCAGTCTCAACGACATGGTGGCGGCATGCCCGGAGGTCGAGGTGTAGGGATGGGGATCTCTGGCCTCGTTCTCCTAGCTGGATCTGCTTTCTTTGCACAAAATGCATTATTCAACGTCGACGGTGGCCACAGAGCTATCAAATATCGACGACTTAGTGGGGTTGGCAAGGATATTTACAGCGAGGGTAAGCCCCATTTATGTTCTAGCACAGCACGGAGATAACCTCTTAACGGGAAAGCTGACAAAACCTGGAACCAGGAACTCACCTGATGCTTCCTTGGCTGGAGACCCCGGTTGTATACGATGTCCGCGCAAAGCCCCGAAGTGTGGCATCCCTGACTGGCACCAAGGATCTCCAGATGGTTAACATCACGTGCCGCGTACTATCGCGTCCGGAAATCAGTGCTTTGCCTCAGATCTACAGAACCCTGGGAACAGACTATGATGAAAGGGTCTTACCGTCCATTGTCAACGAGGTCTTGAAGAGTGTTGTCGCTCAATTCAATGCCAGCCAACTCATCACGCAGAGAGAAATGGTAGCGAGACTCGTTCGTGAAAACCTCTCCAGGAGAGCCGCTCGCTTCAATATCTTCCTGGACGATGTTTCTCTAACTGTATGCTTCAATTGCACGATAACCATGCCTATCCCCATCAACTCGTGGTTCACCTACTGATCTTTCCTGTTTGTATCCTTTTAGCACTTAGCCTTCTCGCCCGAGTTCACTGCAGCTGTCGAAGCCAAACAGGTCGCCCAGCAAGAAGCCCAGCGCGCAGCCTTCATTGTGGACAAAGCTCGGCAAGAGAGACAGGCCATGGTCGTTAAGGCCCAGGGTGAAGCACGGTCAGCCGAGCTCATTGGCGAAGCCGTTAAGAAGAACAAAGCATATGTTGAGCTAAAAAAGATTGAGAATGCTCGGGCAATTGCCCAGCAGATGCAGGAATCGGGGGCGAAAAATAGGCTACTCCTGGACGCAGAGGGTCTGGGCCTCAACGTGTTTGAGAGCAGTGAAAAGAAGTGAACAAGGGACATCATGGTTGTCGACATAGGCAGTGACGTCTAATCTCCACTATATAATTCAACGGCACGACCTATGAACATGTGTCACCAGGGCCGAGAACTTGGCAAGATCACTGGTTAGGGTAGTAGTAGTAGTAGTATGATTATTTAACGCCGGGATATCTCTAAGAAGAGCAAAGGCTGTTAAATACAGCGTAACCGTAAAATAACGTAGAAAACAGTAATAGGGCAGTTGGTCCATTGATTCAATTGAGGCTTGTAAGTCTGTAGATCTGTGTGTGCAACTATAATTTGTCAGATACAGCGTAACCGGAACGGTCAAGATAGGGTCAAAATTAAAGGGTCAAAATTAAAGGGTCAAAATTAAAGGGTCAAAATCAAAGGGTAAATTGTTTAAGATAATTATATGTAATTACTATATAACTCCTGTTTAATATCAGATAGAGCGTAGTTGAAATCGTCACAAAATAGGTTAAAATTGATTAAGGTAATTATATATAATTATAGCTATATGGGACCTTTAGGGAACCGCTACTACCGGAATTTATATAGTGTAGATATCGTATAGGCACGCGGACTATAATATAGTCCCTAGGGGATCTATGCCTAACTAAGGGCTTCGGATCTCGGGGACCTCGGGTATCAGGATATAATAAGGAAGGATACCGGAAAAGACCTGATAGGTTCCCAATAATATAGTACCTATAATAGAGTCTTCACTACCTAAATTAAGGGTATAAGAGACTTATATAGATATAACTTACTATAATATATATATACGAGGTTTCTGCTCTATTAAGTTAGTTATATAAGTGCTATTTTAACGTGCGATATCTATCCGGTCTTTTCTATTAAAGGTCGAATAGTAAGGGATAAGTGTGTCTAAAGGTGTAGATATATAGGGAAGAATATCCCTAGCCCTAAAAGGGAAGCTGTAGAGGCTAGATATAGACTAGGTGGTGGTGCCTACAGGCAGCCATCCACGTAACACTCCCCCGTAGGCTTAACAGCTTGCCCGCGCCTTAACCAAATATCGACGGTTCTATTAGGATATAGTAGTTCTATCAGGTCCTAAAATCCTCGATCCATCTAGTCCAAAGAGTCTAAATCTATCTACCTCCCCCGTATCTATAGCCCTCGAGGTATCGCTATTTACTTTCCCCCTATCTTAGGTACTTATCCGTGCTTCCTATTCCGAGAAATTTAATAGTCGGGTTCGGGCTTCTTAGTTTGCTCTTAGTAGTTATAGTATCGGGTTTTCTTAATTCGAGTCCTTAAGTCGGGTACTCGAAAATAGGTTGTTTTTCGGCTTATGGGCAGTATCGGAATATCTTTGCTTTTGCTAGGGGTAGGTAGAACTTGGGTCTTGATTCTCAACGCCTCGAAAAATAGGCTTTCCTTCATCCTTAGGGTAACGCGTTTAATGCGTTATTATGTAAGGTCGATTTTAGGGATTCGAACCCTTTTTCTTATTTTTCTTCCTCTTTATCGTGAAGAGGAGGCTATAGTATAAACTGCATAGGCTTATAACCTATTAAAGGTGGCATAGTGACGGAAAAGTGTATCTAAAGGTGCAGATATATAGGGAAGAATATCCCTAGCCCTAAAAGGGAAGCTATAGAGGCTAGATATAGACTAGGTGGTAGTGTCTGCAGGCACCCATCCACGCAACATTTTCTGGTATCCTCCCTTATTATATCCTAATACCCGAGGTCCCCGAGATCCGAAGCCCTTAGTCAGGTGTTAGCAACAAATAAGGTACGCAAAAGATGTGTGTGTACATCTAAGTGAAGTTTGTGATACTTTATGGGGATGTCTAACTATACGGAAAAAGCAGGGGAAATAAGGGTGGATATATAGGACCGAGGTACTCCACATGTTTGATATAATGTGGTTTATCACACCCCAATAAGGTGGCTATGGTATCTAATACACCCCCCAGAACTATAGGATTGATCCTGACTGTTCTGCTTAATTTAAAGCCGTAAATCTAGGGTAAAATAGGCCTAGATATTAATTAACGGTGTTAAAGGCGTTAAAGCTAAAAAACAGTTAAAAGTGTTAAAAGCAGTACCTAAATAATAGTCTATAGTGGCATAAAAACACTTAAAATAACGGTCTAATTAACCGTTTTCCTTTAATTAAAATGTAATAGAAGGACTTCGTCCCTATTAATTACTTTAATCCTATTTCGGCGGGACCTTTATACTAAGCAGATATATAAACGCCCTGTTTTTCTACGGGGGTAGTACCTTTATAAGGCTATCGCTAATTATATCGTTAGTAGGGATCTAATTAATTGCGACGGTCCCTTTTCAGACGGTTTCTCTAATCCAAAGGGCGTAGATATCGAGATACTTTGATTTCGAGGCGACCTACGGCCTAGGGGATTCTAATAGGTACTTAGTTTATTAATTATCGTAGTATACTATTAGTAGTTTCTCCTTAAATATTAACGTTAGGTCCTTTATTAAACGCCTCGTCGCGATATACTGCCTAGTAATAGCAGAAAATACTATAAGCTCGGCTTTAGTACTAGAGGTTATAATGCTTATTTGCTTATTAGCCTTTTAGTCTATAGGTCCCCCGAATAGGAGGGTTATATAACCTTATCAGCTATACCTAGTCTTATAATCGTCCGCGAAGGCAGCGTTAGAGGTATAGAAGAGTGCAGGCTTTTAGTGGTCTTTATATAGTCCGAAGTAGAGACACCGCGTCTTTATCGAGCCGAGATACTTTAAGCACCTATCGGTAGCTTCGTAATACTATTTTAAAGGGTTAGTATTAAATTCGGTAAGCCTCGAAGCGGCTTTAGAGATATTAGGCCGGGTCTAATAGGCGGTATAGTTAATAGAACCGACCTTCTAAAGATATAGATAGAGATTAATTCTTCGGAGGCTTATTAGTCGGTAGCAGATAGTTCTAAAACGTTAGGATAAGGAAGAGGGCTTTTAACCATACGACCTCTATAATCTACCTATAACGCCTTTATCTTATCGGTGATATAGTTATTAAGCGATAACCATAGCTTATATTATTAATAATCGTGTCCTACACGGATTCTAAGAAACTACTTAATTAGTCCTATACTCCTGATCTAGACGCTTTTCTGTATCTATTTTACTAGGTTATTAGCTGTAGATTTATATTCCTTATAGTAGATTAGGATAATATCGTTAACGTAGAAGAAAGTAATTAGGACCTTGTTCTTAAAGCCGTAATCGTCCTCGGTTGATTACTTTAAACCGTTTTTACCTAGTACGGAAGAGAGCTATTAGTGCTATAGCTTTAGGGAATGCCGTAGGCTATATAACGCCCGGCGTAGCCGTTGAATCCCTCTGCGTTGTTTAGGGATATATATAGATTAGTTTAAAATGTCCTCGAGCTAATCGTGGGCTTTAAGGCCCGTAGCCGACTAGAGTAACTACTAACCAGGGGGGTCCTTAATATAGATCTCTTCGTTAAGCAGGGTATTAGTGAATACGTTAACGGCGTTAAGTTACCGAGTCTTAAGATTAAAGTAGGCTATAATACCTATTAGGGGCCTAAAGGTCCTTCTAGCGAGGGTAGAGGCGTAGGCGTTAAGGTGGTTATTTAGTTATTAATCCCCTTAAACGTATAGGCGTGCCTTAAACATATTAACGTAACTAGTAGGGTCGACCTTATACTTAAAAACCTATTTAAGGTCTAGTAGCCTTAGAACTGATTTAGAGAGTTCTAAGCCTTACCCTTACTAGTAGGACTATTCCTACCGTTTAAAGGTGCCTATTAACCTAAGCGTGCTAACCTCCTATAAGGCGGCCTTAATCTATTCTAATTTATAGGGACTCTTTAGCATTTATAACTAGTTTAGAGGTTCCTTAGGTATATCGCGGCATAGCAGCGGCTTCTTTGGTATCTGGATCTAATTATAGAAGGTATAAAAGGAAGGAGGGGTATAACGGTTAGTTGGACGCCTGTTACGAGTAGGCCTTTCGGTAGTGGCCGTTAGAATAATAGGAGGGCGGCTTCTTCTGCTTATAGAAGCAGGATAGTTAGCTATCGTAGTGAAAGAAGAGATTTAAGGAGACTTAGCCTAGTAGGAGCCGTAGATACCGGATTAACGGCGGTGGCAGTGGCAGTGGTTAGTTTCTTGTTAAGAACTAATTGGTCAGGGGATAGTAATCATATTGCGACGGCATCGCCGGTTGCGGCCGTATCGTTAGATTAATCTTCGGTATCGTTAGGCCGTTTAAAAACCGGCTGTAGATCCGTAGTTCTGTTTAGTGGTGTAGGAGGGCCGTTTATAGTTGTTAAAGGAGGGAAAATAGGTGCCGTTAGAGGTATAATTATAGGTGTAATTATAGAAGATGTTAAAGTATGTGCCGCTAGAGGCGTGGAAGGCGTTATAGGGCTTATTTACCCTATTCCACGTGCCTCCTGATTAGGTGTCTCGTGCTGTTATTCATCTTCCTGCTATTAGTCTTCTGTAGATTCTATAGTGGTTATTGAACCTGCATCTCTATCTACCGGCCTAGAAGTAATAGTAGTAATAGCGGCGATAGCCGTAGTGGCCGTAGCAGTAGCAGCCTCCGCTATTACCTCCCTCGTGGTATTCTCCTCTTATAGCGTTTAAGGGTGAAAATTACCCACGTTAGTAGTAATACCCAGAGGATCGTGGAGTTAATAATTTATACGCAGATTAAGCTGCTCGCAAACCTTAATTAATACCTTAGGTTCGTGGTCACGATCTTTATAGAGCAGTTCTTTGTTAAAGGTGATATCTCTCGTGTGCAAGATCCTCCTTAATTTTAGCACCTAAATGCGGTATATATTAGTGCTCTTATACCCGATTAAATACTCGATATATACTCTTTCGGCTAATGTAGCATTATGGTTGCGACCTTATTAGTAGTTAGCGGTTAGAGGATAGGCTCTATAACGATACGTTTTTAGGTAGCTAACGATAGGCTTTATTAGGATCTTCTTTAGGCCATATTTATTAATCTAATCCTTTATCTGCCCTTAGGGGGTTTTCTACTAGAGGTCCTTCCGAGGGATAAGGTTATATAGATATACTATAGCAGCTACTAGTTCTGGCTATATATCCTCCTAGATACCTAAGGCCGTTACGAGGGTCCTCGCGATAGTAAAGATAATGCTACTATAGTGTTCTGCCTTTAGATTCTGTGCGGCTATATATAGCGATAACCTCTTAAGCAAAATCCCTCTCTTATCGGCCTATTTATCGAAGCCTTTTTAAAGGGATCTTTCTCTATCTAGGCGGATTACTATAATTATATAGTGGTACTGCCTTTAAAGGAAGAACTTGAAATTCACTAATATAGGTAAGCCTAATTTATAGTTATATAGGAACCTTACAATAGCTTAACGAGTACAGGGAT